TTTGGCTAGGCCAACTTGTGCTCAGACTTCTAGAAGAATGATCAGAATAATCACATTTTTTTTCTAACCTTCCAACGATTAGATCGAACCCATTGACGTAGCAGGTGATGGCCACCCGACTGCAACCTCCACAAAAGTGATAGGGGTCTTTAGGATCCAGGTTGGAAGAACATATGCCCATGCTGAATGGAAGAAGAGGTCTCTTTTCTCGTAGAAAACGGAGCATAGCTATGGTCACCGAAAGTAACACCATTCCATTGAGGATGATCATAACCACGGTGTAGAACAATGCACATGCAGGACACGTGCTCGGCACATGTAGAGCACATGCATGATACATGCACAGTACGCGTATGGCACATGAAAATTTCAATGAGGCTAAGAAAATAGTGGGGCTGTGCTCAAATAGGCTAAATTGTAAGAATTCAATTATTTAAGAGCCCAATCTGATTGAAATTCAAAAAATTACCTGGGTTTGAATTCAATGCCGACATGCAATTCACAAACCAAGAATGTCCACAATCTCCTAAGTGCAGGGAATGTTGTAAAGAATGTAAGATTTTGCAATGTCGATATTTTTGTTTAAAACTCGAATCCTACCGTTATCAAGGGATTCGATCCCTTTTTTTGTTGCTCGTCACCTTTGTTTTTTATGGATTACTTAAGTCATTTTCCTGCTTTAGAAAAGCGAAAAACAACTCTAAGTTCTCCTTGTTTATTTACCTTCATGAAGATATCAATATAGGGTCTGGTATTATATTAGATGCGCTCACTCTTCTCGACAACTTTGACAACATAGCTGCAGATACTGCCAAAGAATCAACTTTTCTTATTTGAAAAAATTAGTCCAAGTCAAATTGAAATATGACATGAAAAAGATACAAAAAAATCCATTTAAATTCGATAACCGTATTGTGATCCAACACCCTCACATCTTGCATAGAAGATCAAAGTTTCAGTTTCGCCGGAATTTAATCCTTTCGCCGAAATTCATTTTTCGATTTTATTAGCAGAAGACGGGTTATGTGGCGCTTCCGGACAAGAGTATTATCAACGGAGCACAAGGAAACATATAGATATGCTTTGATGGAATTTAATTAGCGTCAAGATATACAAAACTTCGTCAGAATTTAATCGACGTCAAAGTCAAGTGAAGATACAATATTGGAATTTAATCGACAACGAAGACCTAAAAGCTACAACTAAGATAAATTTAATCGACGATGAGATATTTGAAAACTACAACTAGGATACAGGAATGGAAAGATAATAGGTCTGATGTTGTTTGCTCGAGGGTTTTACAAAGAGTACGATGTGGTTTTGGAGCCTATAATTGACGTTCACAAACAGTTACCGAAAAAAATTAACTTCTTAGTGGTTGTAAGAAGTTACATTATCCACAAAAAGTTTCTATGCGGTCTTCTATTATATGGCAACACTTATCTATAAGAAGTTACAACAATCCTAAAATAGCAGCAAAATAACTATCCAGCCATTATCCTCTAGTCAATTTCTCGCCGTCAATATCAATGATTTCAATCAACTTCAAGGTTCTCATCGATAACTTCGTGTTGCATGTCATCGATGAACTCACTGGCCAGTTGTCGATTCTCTCCAAGTTATCGATAATTCTGTTTATAAATGATCAAATTATACTCCATCAATCAAGTCTATCACGTGTCGACAATAGCCAAAAGTTGGTCTTTTTTGTGGAAACAATTTCTGTAACTGCCATTTCTCCTATGTGAAGATCACGTTGACATATGTAAGCCGCGGTTCTTCGGAACACAGACCCATTCAAGCCATGTCCATTGTAAGTTACATTTTCTGCTGTTTGAGGAACAATCTTTACTCTTTTAGGCTCCGTACGTTTGGCGGAAAATATTTTCCAGGAAAATATTTTCTGGATTTTCCAGTATTCGGGGGGCGGAAAACAACTTCCATGGGAGGGAAAATGTTTTCCGTGGGAGAGGAAGTTGATCGCCGGTCACCGCCGTCGGCCGCCGGTCGCCGCCGCCGGCCGCCGGTCGCCGCCGCCAGGCATTCGACGGTCGCCGCCGCCGATCGACGATCGCCAATCGCCGCCACCGGTCACCGTCGATCGTCGGCTGCCGCCCGTCGCCGGCCGCCGCCCGTCGCCGCCGCCGGTCATCGGTCGCCGGTCACCGTCGGTCGTCGGCCTCCGCCGATCACCGCCACCGGTCACCGGCCGCCGCCGGTCGCCGATCGCCGCCGCCGGTCGTCAGTTGTCGGCCGCCAACAACTAAAATTATCAACATGTTACAAACTTCTATCCAACAACTAAAATTATCAAGGAATGTGACAGTTTTTAGTAGAGACTTTGACATACTTACACAACATGTAATGCATTTATAGAAGACAGAAACAAGCTGTTAGATGGAACCAAATCAGACATGGCGATGACATATCAACCAAATTGTTGCAGATATATATGTAATAGATTCTCCGTACCTTTCTTGCTTTTCCATATCTTTTAGGATCGTGCATACATCGTGTATATCCTTCACTGATTCTAATTTATTATAATTGATATTCTAATATATTTTTACCTTAGATATTCATTTTATAAATAACTCATGTACTTTTCGTTATGAATATAGAAAATTACGCAATTCTCAACTAAATATTCGAAATTCGAATGTGAGTTTTTTTTTTTTTTTGGTCGAAAGAATGTGAGTTAATAACTTTCTCGAGATTTCAATGCAATTTGATAACTTGCTAACTTGCTAACTTGCTAACACGTAACAAGGCTATAAAAGTTTACTGGGTGCAGGATACTTATTATCGTTTAGAATACTGTCAAGTGTCATGTACCGAATCATATCGATCCCAGATAGAGTCATCCTTAAATCGAAGAGATCTTCTTCGTAGGCACAACCTTTTGGCGAAAGCAATGTCCAACCGCCAACTCTCACGTTTTTCTTCTCAAAAGCAGCCCAAGGAGGAACAAAAGGGGTGACTCGAACAATTTTCTTTCTTCTTCACCTGCTTTGTTGGCCCTCTTAATGCCAATGTAAGAAAATCGGAAGGGAGTTGAGGGATATGGTAGTTGGGTGGTGGCTTGGTGTCGTGATGCATTAATTCTTGTTAGTTTTCTAGATATATGTCTCCTTTTCGAACGTAATTAGTTTTCTAGATGGATACGGAAATTGTTTCTTGAACTACATATGGATACATGATATGAATCTATCCACGTCAACGGAATAAAGTTATAGACCTGATTATGAGTCTAATAGTCCATGGGCCTACCAAGCCCCGCTCATCTCCCACAAGAGCCTGAAGGCAATTTTTGGTGGGCCTAGGCGAGGGGATAATCGTTATATGGCCTTCCTTCGCCTGCAAAGTTGTGATTTTATTGTTATTGTTTTTGTTGGTGAAAAGTACCAAAAAAGTCATAAACCTATTGTATTTGTACCAATTCAGTCATAAACCTTTCAATTGGACCAATTTAGTTCTAAACCTTTTCAAATTGGTACCAATTCAGTCCGTCCGGCCAATTTAAGCCGGAAATCGCTGACGTGGACATTTTAGAAAAAAAAATTAAAAATGTCTACGTCAGCACCGGTCATGCCACGTAGAACCGCCGGCATCCACATCAGCGATTTCCGGCTTAAATTGGCCTGACGGACTGAATTGGTACCAATTTGAAAAGATTTAGGACTAAATTGGTCCAATTGAAAGATTTAGGACTGAATTGGTACCAATGCAATAAGTTTAGGACTTTTTTGGTATTTTTCCCGTTTTTGTTCATAGGCAGGCCTAAGCAACGGGTTAGTCATGCTCAGGCTCAAGCCCCATCCATTTGTCGCTTCTTACAAGTAACTTATAAAACATGCAAAATAACTCGAATATAAGAGGAATATCAGAATTTGCGTATGTGATCTATGTTTTGATATCATCTGTTAGATACCGATTCTCCCCCGAGGTTGAAACTAGCAGGACATGGACCCAATCGCATCGCCTCATGCACAAAATCAATCAAATTTAGAGTGTTGAGAAGGCAAATAGAGGAAGAGGAGTGTAACACAGCAGCCCAAGTCGAACTCGAAGAATAGAGAGAACATTGTAGACTTAAAGCATTCGAAAAGCCACAAATATGCACAGCACATTGCAATTTCAAACTCTTCGTGGTCTGATCAATGCGGTTCTTGAGCTTCAACAAGAACTTCTTGTTGTCCGCTCCATCAACTTCTTCCTCTGTTAGATTTCATCGGCTTTGCTACGTGAAGCAATCAGGTTCCCTTTCCTCAGGCGGTCGAACATGATAAATCTTTTGAGGGCGGCCCATTTCAGAGCTTCTTCGTTGTGCTACGACCTCAAGAACGCGTCTGTTCGCTATGTCCAGAGCCTATATAGTCTGCAGTTAAGGGTATACCATGCTGCATGCACCACCACAGTTACAACTAATAAGATCAGGCTCAGTTGTGATTCAAGTTCCTACAATCCCAATCTCTGTTACTCTTTTGAGCCCCCAACCTAAAGCACCATCAGCCGCCAATATTGTATTCCCTCTTCTGTGTTCAACATGCTGACCTCTTGATCTTTTGCCACTTTATTACAATACCTTCATGACAACAACACAAGCCTCTGCTTCTAATGCCTTAATCAAAACCAACGAGGTACCAAGAATAACATCTCAATCTTGTGCATAGCATGCATACAACAACAACAACAACAACAACAATGATAGGCCTATCCCCTTTATATACAAGCAAATTAAGTAGCATAACCAGGCCTCATTTTTGTGTCCTCATCTCGCTGACTCCCACCAATACAATGCCCTGATCACAACTTCGGTGACCATTCCAGACACCAGGAGACAGCAGAGCTTATACAACATAGCTATTTATATGTCTAACGCTAACAAGTGTCGTGAACTTATGCATTCCTTGATGACTAACAACTGACTAACAACAGGCTCAACAGGAGGGGATTTATGGAAATAATAAAACAGCTTCATCAGGAGCAATGCCCTATGATTTACTTGAAAAAGAACCACTTTAAACCCACACCATCAAAAGCCGGTATCAGACATGAAAAGTATATCCATTCAAAGAAGAGAAAGTTATCTCTAACTTTACATCTATTGTTACTTATTCCTAAAGTGTCTCCATTTAATCTTCATCTTCATTCTCTTTGTCATGCCTGGAAGTCCCATTTACACCAGATACAAGCTCTGCCTCGGTTGGATTGGATGGCAACCTCTCATAGGCTTTCGAACTCGACGGAAGCAGCTTACATTGCCCCAATCTAAGACTCTGGCTGAGCTTCTCATAGCCCCACCTCTGCTGAATATAGACTACAATTGCTAGTAGAACAGCACTCAAAGGTATGGCAACATCTCCAAACTTGGAGTAAAAATCCCAATTAGGATTGACAAACTCGTATTCATCCACAAAGTATGGATTGGGAGAGGGGGATCTCGTGTAATCATATAGATGAGGGAGGAGTCTAACTATAGTGATCCCGACATAATATAGCTTTCTGAGAGGATGACTATCAATCTGCCATAAGAAGTTGCCAATAACTTGAGGGAGAAGGAAAAAGTCGTGAGCGAGGCCAACGTACTCTTCCAATTTGGTTTCCCACACTGGAGATGTGTCCGAATTGCCAGCAGAATCATAGTATACATGCGTCTGAAGCGATGCCTGGCTAGTTTTTACAGAATGAATTATCAAAACTATAAGGTAACCTATTAGGTGTATGGACAAGGTAGTAAGCAGCACTTTTTTATCACTTGGGACTCGATATGGTTCCAGTGGAGCCCTCATGAGTAGCCTGATCCGAGATTTCCATACCTTCTGAAGAAGTCTCAAAGTAAGCAAAAATGAAACCATCACCAGAAGCTTTACGGCATAATCGATCACATGAATCCACTGGCTTCTTTCCAGATTGTAGGTAGAAACTTCCGTGGATTTTGATGCTGCTCTCTTGAAAACGGCTTCCGCTCCAGTAATCAAAGGAAGGCTATACCCCACGGCTTGTACACCAAGCATAACCAACGAGACATAAGCTACAGAGTCCACATTATGGTCGATGTAGAAGAGTTGGCTCAAAATGCAAGAAATGGCCAGAGAAAGTGTCAGTACCCGAAGGATCCCCTCAATACCTCTGCGAGAGAGAATGTCCTCTCTTTGTTGCCTATACAATATCGGGAAGGTCTCAAGCTTGATGGAATCAAAATGGAGAGGATCATCTTCATTTCTTTGGCTGCTAATGGAAATTTTGGCAGTGGGATCAACAAGCCACCGATCTGTGGTGGGAGGGTACGAAATGACTACCTCGATCAAGCAGTCTAACCCAGCTTCGAGATCCATACTTTCAAATAATATTTTCCATGAGGCACGGATATCTCTGCAACCAACAAGATACATCTTCCCGACATGCAGGTCATATAGTCCCTCTAAAAATATCACTGAAAAATTGCTGTAAGCCTTTCCTGGAAAAGAAAGTTGGGCTGAAACATTTACAAGGAGCTGCCTTTCAGTGTATACTGCCTTAGTGCGGTAAGGGACCTTGTCTTCTGTGGAAGAACTGTTCTGTGAAGACCAATAGCGTCCAAACAACGAACCCAGAGAGAGAATCTCCATCTGCAGGTCGACTCTCGGAGATCTTGATTTAGGGAATGGATCAGGATGCGCAGACACATGAAGAGTGAGATCTTCTGATAGAACAGAGAGACTGACTAGGTATGATTCCGCATCTTCTAGTTTGGGGAATTGCAACAGCGACTTCTTTATCACGGACCTGAAACTGAAAGGTTCATTCTTTTCAAGGATAACACCAGCCAAATCGATTTTCGAGTAACTATAGTATGGATTAGCCGTCTTGAAATAATTCCATAACTCCGTAGGCTGCACTACCTTCTCAAATGCCAAAGGGAAGAAGGATATGTTGTCATTCTTTAAGCTAAAGAAGCTCCCAAGCACAATGCTTCGTTGCTTAATGGAAAATGAGGTAGGAATATACAGACAAATCCGAGACTTACACTCGCTCCCTTCAGAATCACCGGTCCCTACACATCCAGCCATGCACAGCTGACCACTCGAAGACTTCCAAATTCCCTCGGCAGCGAGAGTCATATTGCTCGGACTGGATCTTCTTTCTGCAGTGTACTGATTCTCCGAAGGAGAAACAGCTCTGAACACAGCAGCAACTCTCGCAGAGGATGTTTCTTGTACAGAAGTTTGTTCGCACTTGATATCCTGAATGTAAAGTTTGACATCCTTAAAACTGCCATCTGAAGCCCTAATCTCCTCATCCACCGCAAAAGGACCCAGCCTGCCACAAAAATCATCAGTAGAGTTGCATTTCCAGTTCGGCACAACGGTAAAAGCTTGTCCTATAGATTCCTCGAGAATCCTACAGAATCCAGTACCCTTATAGATTTCAATGCTGCCATTCAAAAACCCATCTTGGTAGGGGTATGGATTGCAGGATTTAGCAACAATCTTTTCAGAACCAAACTCGTAATGAGCCGCCTTGCCCAACTGCGATGCAATATGTACTTCATCAAAGTGCTTAGCATTAGATTTTGGGTTAAGGCTCGTCATTCTGCCTTGGATCACCCTGTGTGTGAGACTGAATGTCGTAGGGTACCGGAGGACAAGCAAAATTCGGTCATCCTGCAAAAGAGGCGTCTGGTTGTAATTCAAATTTTTCACCCATTGCCATGGATTAGCATGATCGGATTCCCTCGACGGCAACATGGTGTTCCCCAAAAGACACAGCACTCTCTCTCCACCATTTTGATTGGATTCGCTGTAAACCCCTTGAAACGAAATCGAAAGCTGAGTATGGCCCGGCCATATCTCCAACTGATGGCTTCCCTCATAGGGCTTCTCCGAAAACATGCCGTCCACGGTTATGCCCATTGTCAAGAGCCCGCTCACGAAGACCGATTTCTTCGACCGGTGGGACCGATCGACGTCGGTGATCCAGAACGAGACCAAGCGCAAAGGAGCCCTCGACGAGTTGCTCGAGAGCTCGTGATCGTCAAATGGCAGTATTGGGGAATCACCCACGTCTTGTTCCCAATCCCCATTCACAAAAAACAGCTCTTCCTTAATACTAAAAGCTCTGCTATCTTCAATTCTCAGTTCAGAAGCAGATTTCAAAGTAATCGAACACTCTTTCTTCACTTCATTGATCAGATCATTACTGTAAGTGGCAGCAGAAGACGAAGAGGAGGAAGAAGAAGGTTCGCCTTCAATTGCAACAACATCCCTATCTATCAAGTATCCACCAGCGAACTCAAGGGCCAAGAACAGATAGACAGTGGAAACAAGAGTGCCAACGCACAAGGTCTTCATGATCTCCGACCACACGGGATCTAATCACTCCTAGAAAAGATAAATTCACAGAAATAAACAAGAAATGCCGCAACCCTTCAAACAACCATTTGCCTCAGAGGGTAGCTGAAACCGGGAACAGCCATCTGTTGTACTTACCAGCAAGACTTGAACATGCAGCAACCGTTAACCCAGTTCAGGCATTGGTCTGGTGCAATGTGTTGTGTAGTAGTTTACACGGACGGACAGGAAGACTGAGATCTCGACCCAAGAATCTTCTAGTGTGCGTATGAGAGAGAGAGAGAGAGAGATGGAGTCGAGTTGAAGATAATTAGGACAGAGGTTATGTTCCGGGTTTGGTGCGATGTCTGGATCGACAAATGTTAGAGAAGGAAAGATCACGGCTTTCGCACACCATCCCACGATTCGAGGGGCGCGTGTAATGCATAATTTCTTTTGTGTTTTGATCGAACGTGTAACGCATAATAGAAAGAAAAGAGAACGACGCAATGTTCTCTAAATTTTAGCTTATTATATAACATGATCTCTAAATTTTAGCCTAATACGTAATATCGCCCCTGAATTTTTAATTTGTTCAGCATGATCCCTAAATAATTTGTATAAGTGGTTCATGAACTTGAATTAATAAAAGGATAACTTGAACATTTGCATACAGTTTAGGGACTATATTGAATAAGTACGAAAAGTCTATAGACCACATTGAACAAATTAAAATTTAAGGTCCACAAGTTCATGAATTACATTAAACAAAGTAAAAGTTCATTGATCACATTATACATTAGATCAAAGTTCATGGACCATTTGTGTCATTAAGGAAAAAGGTAGACATATGCTCAGACTCCCGAACTTTACCACCCGTCACGCAATTGCCCGCAAATTCTATGAAATTACAAATTTTACCTCCTTCAACTTTGATCTTTATGCAATAGCCCCGCGTCCGTCTAGAAAGTTAGAGATTACCCCAACTTTAAATTTTTGTTACGGTAATTAAGTCAACAGAACATCATTTTCAACCTTAGTAAAATTTGACCCTCATGGCTAATATCTGGCGAATAGCATCCATATAGTTCAAACGATGGACAAAATTATAACATTAGACATGAGCAGTAGATGAGCAGCTCGTTAGGTTCACTCAGCCCTGAAGGCAAAAATGGATGGATTTAGGTAACTGTCTTGCATTAAAAGGCCTTGCCCACCCATCTTTGGTGCAGGCCGGGCCTCCATTGGACTGAAAATCTTAATTGTTGATTTTAAGTTATGGATCGGCCTGCACAACATAATAGGTCCGACTTCGAAACTAATCAGTGACCGTCTCTTAAAAGTCGAGAGCTGAAGCCGCACGGGAGCGGCATGTCTCAATTATGGCCAAAACTTCTTTTTGTCTAATAAAAAGCATGAACGTTAGGTCAAATGTCAATTCTAGCCCAAGCATTTTTTTTGTCTCATAACAAAGCACAAATTTTCATTCGGAACTCTAATCCTTGCCCATCAAAATTCCATCCAATGATACCATTAAAGAGCCGACGTGTCATTCCATATGTACTTGATGGAAACTTAACGGGAGATAGATATGGGTACCAATTGGAAGCTAGTGCTTTTTTATGAGACAGAGAACTTTGAGCTAAAATTGGGACTAAAGTTAAAATTGATGCTTTTTTACGAGACAAAAAATTGAGACCAGGATTAGGTCCTGAGCTAAAATCGATGCTTTTCTACAAGATAAAAAAAAGGTTAGGCTAGAATTCGAACTAGAACCCAAGTTGGTGTTTTTAAGAGAATTGGGCCAATTACTAAATACAAAGGAAATTACTACTTTAAAGATGACTTACAAGTAAATGATCACTGTGATTTCCTTCTTATAAGGGAAATTAATTCGCCTCTAATCATCGTCGTCATCTCCTAAAATTATTTAGGTTTCTCTCATGTATCATCTCTAATTCTATATTGTTTGTTCGAATCAATTGAATTAAGTCATTTGGATACCATTCTGAGGGAGCGACTTTGTGTCTGGAATCAGGGAATGGGGGACATTTGGTCCCCCTTCTGATGAATAGACTTTGGTACAAAATAACAAGTATAATAAGTCACCTTAGCACAATTAGTTTTATTTAACCAAAGAACAAATCCATAGCTATCTAGGCTGACTCCACGATAAGGCGTGTGAAGATATTCAAAGGCTTTGTTTTTCAACTTCTCGTGCTGGACTTTTCTCTCTACATATATACTAGCAAAAAGACACAGACTATGGGTGCAAACAAAGGAAAAAATATTAAGCGAATAAGTTATTTGGGTTGCTTTTCTTCTGGTGGTCTGTGACTGGGTATTACACTTTTCTTGATGGTAATTTGGTAACTTGGAGAAGCAAGAAACAGACTACCATTGTCAGGTCCAGTGCAGATGCTAAATCTTGTGCTATGGCACATATTGTGGCTGAATTGTTGTGGTTGAACTCCTTTCTCTAGGAGCTTGAATTGTTTATTAATCAACCTATTGATATGATGTGTGATAATCAAGTAGCTATTTATATTGCTGGAAAACCTATTTTCATAAGTGAACTAAGCATAGAGAAATTAACCGCCACTTTGTAAATGATGCTGTGAAGCGGAAGTTGGTTTCTACTCCTTACATTGCCTCTAGAGATTAGTTTGCTTATATGTTCACTAAAATGTTGTTTCGTCTTGCCTTTGTTGCTAGTTGTTCCAAGGTGGGCATGGGTGACCTATATGCTCCCTCAAGCCCAACTTGAGGGGATCGTTACGTTATTTGAGTGGTATATTGCTGGGAAACTGTTTTTCATGAGTGAACTAAACATATAGAAGTTAACCATCACTTTGTCCATAATGTTGTGAAGCGGAAGTTGGTTGCCACTCCTTACATTGCCTCTAGAGATCGGTTTGCTTATATGTTCACTAAATCATTGTTTCATCCTACCTTTATTGCTAGTTGTTCCAAGCTGGGCATAGGCGACCTATATGCTCCAGCTTAAGGAGGAGCGTTACGTTATTTGAGTGGTGTCGATTTTATTTCCTTTTACGTACATAAAAATATTATGGTCATGTATAATTTATATTCAACATAAATATATTATGATAGGTGTAGGGCTTCTGTAACACAGAAATTGAGAGTCCCTTGTTGGTTTTTACTATAGGTTTTCTTCCTCTCCATTTCTCCTCTCTTCCTTCTTATCTCTTGACTATTTGCCGCAGATTCTCTAATCAGCTTTGTGACAATTATATTTGAATCAATAGAAAAGCCAACACTCAAAATGGGTAGTGAATTGAAGGCTCACCAAAGCTTCCTATTCTCAGTATCTCTAGTGAAAATCTGAAACCAGGGACAACTTCTTGGGTCTCTACATTCAAGAAAAGGGAAAATTACCAAAAAAAGTCCTAATCATATTACACTTGTGCCAATTCAGTCATAAACCTTTCAATTGTGTCAATTTAGTCTCAAACATTTTCACGTTTTGCCAATAAAGTCAATCCGGTCAATTTAGGCCGGAAATCGCTGACGTGGACATCGATGATCCTACGTGGCACGAACAACACTGACGTTAACATTTTTCATATTGTTTTTGAATTTTTAAATAACTTTTTGATTTTTTCTGTTTTTTTCTTTACTTTACTCTTTTTTTTTTTGGACTCAAGGCAGGCAAGGGTCGCCGGCCAACCCTCGCCGGCACGGTCGTTCAAGTTGCTTTCGGTTTATCATATGATGCTCCACGCACAAGTACCTTATTTCATCAGCACATATACAACAGCAAAGAACAAGACACGGACTATATTTTATGCGCATACATATGTGTCTTGGACCACCATTGGAAACCGATAGGAACCTTGAGTACTAAACTCAAAACTGAATTAAGAAAAGATCAGGCGACATCCCATATGATACGATCTGTAATATCCCCATTATTAACTGTGGAGGAATCAAATTCTTCAACGACGATACGTCTCTCTCCATGCAACTGTGTAACTATTGATCAACACCCATGCGCAAGGACATAAGCGCGACGATCATTTTCAATTGATTTTGATTGACTTGTACATTATCGGTGGTCTCGTCTCCTAACTAACTAGGTTGTGCATTAACAATAATAAAACAAAACCATGGGCGATGCCGGGATTTCTCAATGTCCATGCAAACAATAGCATTCTATAGACAACTTGGTATTGTGCATCGTAGTCAAATCACCATCAGAATCAAGTGAGGATCGACCAGCCTGAGTGATTAGCGCTTGGAACATGTGAAGTTTGGTATATTATGTCGGCACAATTTAATTGAGAATCTAATTAGGCTTTGTGAATGCTCTTAGAGAATATTCAATTCCAAAAGCAAGCACCTCCATGCCTCCCCAGTCCTCGTCTTGACTCACGGCAACCTCACCATTCTTATGAATAGCGACCAAAACCAAAAACTAAAACCCAAATGTAGCAATCTAGAAAAGATGGGGTCAGTGGCAGAATTGAAGCTCCCAGTGGTAGACTTCTCGACCCCGGAGCTCGAGCCGGGCACTGCCGAGTGGACCGCCATGAGGGACGGGGTGAAGTGGGCGCTGGAAAGCTACGTACGGCTGCTTTGAAGCCCGGTTCGAGAAGGTGCCTGTCTAGCTGCAGGAGTCAATGTGGGGCTCGGTCCGGGAGCTCTTCGACTTGCCCTTGCAGACTAAGCTCCGGAATGTCTCGAGCAAGCCCTTCCACGGCTACGTCGGGCAGTACCCCGAGGTCCCGCTCTACGAGATCATGGGGTTCGAGGACGCCGATGTGTACGGCAAGGTGGATGGCCTTACCACTCCTCTATGGCCCGAGGGACATCCGAGTTTTAGGTAAACCAAAGTTTTTTGAACACGAGAATCGATTACATATATATTGTGCCTCTAGGAATGCAAAATCCTATGTTCAGCTAATTAGCTTGTTGTCTAGATGAAATTCTTATTCCATTAACTTCAGGCGACTCGTGTGTTGGAAGTTGCTTCTCGATAGATTTAACGATTACGATGTTGCTTCTCTCTGTGTGTGGCAGCAAAACCATACAATCATACACGGAGAAGCTATCGGAGCTAGATCAGGTGGTAAGGAGGATGATCCTGGAGAGCCTCGGCGTCAAGAAATACTTGGATGAACACATGAACTCGACCAAATACCTTCTTCGCGTCATGAAGTACGCAGGGCCGCAAACCACCGACGATAAGATCGGCCTCAGCCCTCACACGGACAAGATCTTCATCACCATCTTGTGCCAGAACGGAGTCCACGGTCTCCAAGTCCAGACCAAAGACGGCGAGTGCCTCAGCGCTCGACCCTCGCCAAATTCTTTCGTCGTCGTGATAGGGGACTCACTCTACGTAAGTCTTGATCCCTTTTTACCTTTTGAAAATGATAGGCGAGGAGTTTCGCATCTCATAACCTTATCATTTCGCG